GACTCACTGCACAGCGTCGAAATGTGTGTCGAGTTTTCTTCCCCCCCTTCTTTTTCTTGTCCTTTTTTTTTTTTTTTTTTTTTTTTTTTTTTTTTTTTTTTTTTTTAAAAAAAAAAAAAAAAAAAAAAAACCTATCTATTTTCAGTCTGGTTTTGTTTTTGATTTTTTTAAAATAATATTAATGCTCAAAAAATAAAAATAAAAATATGGGGATATAGAGAGCAAAAAAAACTACACCCCCATATTTTTATTTTTACTTTTCACTTATGTTTTGCCTGCAAAAAAAAAATCCGCGGGCCGAGTTGTACCACGTTCAACTCGGTTTAACGCGGAGTTGCAACGGGAGTTGAACGGGAGTTGAACCGTAAAAACTCAAAACCCCCGTTGAATCCGATTCGGACACATAGCCCAACCCCCCAAATTATCGCTAAACCCCCATTGACGGGGAGCACCCCAACAGTCTTCAGCTCGGCCCAAGCCGCCCAACCTCGCAAACGTCCCTCAAATAACCCATACATGACCCACCAATAGAAAGCCCGTGACCTTTTCACCCCCTCACCCAACCCCTGCCCCGTAATATTATTATTTTATTACGTTAACGAAATTTGAAAAACAAAAAGAAAATAATTTTTTATTTTCACCAGCGACCACCCTATGAAGGTGCTCGCTCCAACAAAAAACGAATACGCGATTACAGCTTGATGGAAGACCGACCAATGATAAAAAAAGGAAGTGGAAGATGGACCGACGAGGGATGGTGGAAAGACGAGGGAGGGGGGAAGTGAACAACGGAGACAAGCATGATGACAAGGGAGAAGGGAGGGAGGGAATGGACGAGGGGAGGGGATGGATGAGGGAGGAACACACCGATGACAACAGAGGAGCACACGGCCAATGGGGAGGGGGGATGAAGTAGAAAGAACTTCGAAAAAAAAAAGCAGAAAGAAGACGGCGGAAGGATGAAGTAGGCGAGACGAGGGAGGAGGGATGAAGTAGGAGAGACGAGGGAGGAGGGACTAAGGAACTGCCACGTGTGTGTGTGTGTGTGTGTGTGTGTGTGTGTGTGTG